TGCGTGACCAATCCACACAGCACAATATTCATATTATAAGGATACTAGAAGATGAAGAGAGTAAAAAATGGATAGAAAGTGTCTTTGAGAAGATAATTGCTGAGAACTTTCCCAGTCTGGGGAAGGAGATAGTCTCTCAGGCCATGGAGGTGCACAGATCTCCCAACACAAGGGACCCAAGGAATATAACACCAAGATATACAGTAATTAAAATGGCAGAGATGAAGAATAAGGACAGACTATTAAAAGCAGCCAGAGAGAGAAAAAGATCACATACAAAGAAAAACCCATCAGACTATCATCAGACTTCTCAACAGAAACCTAACAGGCCAGAAGGGAGTGGCCTGATACATTTAATGCAATAAAGCAGAAGGGCCTGGAACCAAGAATACTCTACCTGGCAAGACTGCCACTTAAATTTGAAGGAGGGATTAAACAATTTCCAGATAAGCGAAAGCTGAGAGAATTTACCTCGCACAAACCATCTCTACAGTGTATTTTGGAGGGACTGCTATAGGTGGAAGTGTTCCTAAAGCTAAATAGCTGTCCCCAGAGGTAATAAAACCACAGTAAAGAAAGCAGACCAATTAATTACTAAGCAGATGCAAAATCAAATTAACTACCCCCAAAGTCAGTCAAGGATAGACAAAGAGTACAGAATATGATACCTGATATATAAAGAATGAAGGAGGAAGACAAAGGAGGGAAAAAAAGAACTTTAGATTGAGTTTGTAATAGCATACCAAGTGAGTTAAATTAGACTGTTAGGTAGTAAGGAAGTTACCCTTGAACCTTTGGTAACCACAAATCTGAAGCCTACAATGGCAATAAGTACATATCTATCGATTATCACCCTAAATGTAAATGATCTGAATGCACCAACCAAAATATAGAGTCACTGAATGGATAAAAAAACAAGACCCATCTATATGCTGCTTGCAAGAGACTCAGTTCAAACCCAAAGACATGCACAGACTAAAAGTGAAGGGATGGAAAAAGATATTTCATGCAACTAGTAGGGAGAAAAAAGAAGGAGTTGCAATATGTGTATAAGACAAAATAGACTTCAAAACAAAGAAAGTAACAAAAGACAAAGAAGGACATTACATAATGATAAAAGGGTCAGTTCAACAAGAGGATATAACTATTATAAATATCTATGCACCCAACACAGGAGCACCTACATATGTGAAACAAATACTAACGGAATTAAAGGGGAAATAGAATGCAATGCATTTATCCAAGGAGACTTCAACACTCCACTCACTCCAAAGGACAGATCCACCAGACAGAAAATGAGTAAGGACGCAGAGGCACTGAACAACACACTAGAACACTTGGACCTAACAGACATCTACAGAACCCTCCACCCAAAGCAGCAGGATACACATTCTTCTCAAGTGCACATAGAACATTTTCAAGAAAAGATCATATATTTGGCCACAAAAAGAGCCTCAGTAAATTCAGGATTGAAATTGTACCAACCAGTTTCTCAGACCACAAAAGTATGAAACTAGTAATAAACTATGCAAAGAAAAGAAAAAGCCCACAAACACATGGAAACTTCACAACATGCTCCTAAATAATCAATAGATCAATGACCAAATCAGGCAATATATGGAGACAAATGACAACAATAATGCAACACTGCAAAATCTGTGGAATGCAGTGAAGGCCATGTTAAGAGGGAAGTATATGGCAATACAGGCCTACCTCGGGAAAGAAGAACAATCCCATATGAACAGTCTAAACTTGCAATTAATGAAACTAAAAAAGAAGAAAAAATGAGGCCCAAAGTCAGTAGAAGGAGGGACATAATAAAGATTAGAGCAGAAATAAATAAAGTTGAGAATAATACAATAGAAAGACTCAATGAAAGCAGGAGCTGGTGCTTTGAGAAAATAAACAAAATAAATAAACTCCTAGCCAGACTTATCAAGAAAAGAAATGTCTATACACATAAACAGAATCAGAAATGAGAAAGGAAAAATCACTATGGACACTACAGAAATACAAAAAATTATTAGAGAATACTATGAGAAATTTTGTGCTAACAAACTGGATAAACTAGAAGAAATGGACAACTTTCTAGAAAAATTCAACCTTCCAAGGCTGACCCAGGAAGAAACAGAAAATCTGAAAAGACCAATTACCAGCAACGAAATTGAATTGGTAATAAAAAAAAACTACCTAAGAACAAAATTCCTGGACCAGATGGCTTTACTGCTGAATTTTATCAAACATTTAGTGAAGACCTAATACCCATCCTCCTTAAAGTTTTCAAAAAAATAGAAGAGGGAATACTTCCAAACTCATTCTGTGTGGCCAGCATCACTCTAAACCAAGCAAAGATACCAACAAAAAAGAAAATTACAGACCAATATCCCTGATGAACATAGATGCAAAAATACTCAGCAAAATATTAGCAAACTGAATTCAAAAATACATCAAAATGATCATCCATCATGATCAAGTAGGATTTATTCCAGGGATGCAAGGATGGTACAACATTCGAAAATCCATCAACATCATCCACCACATCAACAAAAAGGACAGAAACCACACGATCATATCCATAGATGCTGAAAAAGCATTTGACAAAATTCAACATCCATTCATGATAAAAACTCTCAACAAAATGGGTATAGAGGACAAGTACCTCAACATAATAAAGGCCATATATGACAAACCCACAGCCAACATCATACTTAACAGCGAGAAGCTGAAAGCTTTTCCTTTAAGATCAGGAACAAGATAAGGATGCCCACTCTCCCCACTTCTATTCAACATAGTTCTGGAGGTCCTAGCCACGGCAATCAGACAACACAAAGAAATAAAAGGCATCCAGATTGGTAAGGAAGAAGTCAAACTGTCCCTGTTTGCAGATGACATGACACTGTACATAAAAAACCCTAAAGTATCCACTCCAAAACTACTAGATCTAATATCTGAATTCAGCAAAGTTGCACAATACAAAATTAATACACAGAAATCTGTGGCTTTCCTATACACTAACAATGAAGTAGCAGAGAGAGAAATCAGGAAAACAATTCCATTCACAGTTGCATCAAAAAGAATAAAATACCTAGGAATAAACCTAACCAAAGAAGAGAAAGACCTATACCCTGAAAACTATAAGACACTCGTGAGAGAAATTAAAGAAGATACCAATAAATGGAAATACATCCATTTATTTGGATGCTCATGGATGAGAAGAATTAATATTGTCAAAATGGCCATACTGCCTAGAGCAATCTGCAGAATCAGTGTAATCCCTATCAAAATACCAATGGCATTCTTCAACAAACTAGAGCAAGTAGTTCTAAAATTCATATGGAACCACAAAAGACCCCTAACAGCTGAGGCAATCCTGAGAAGGAAGAATAAAGCTGCGGGGATTTGCTCCCTGACTTCAAGCTCTACTACAAAGCCACAGTAATCAAGACAATTTGGTACTGGCACGAGAACAGACCCATAGATCAATGGAACAGAATAGACAGCCCAGATATAAACATATGGTCAATTAATATACAATAAAAGAGCCATGAATATATGATGTGGAAGTGACAGCCTCTTCAACAGCTGGTGTTGGCAAAGCTGGACAGCTACGTGTAAGAGAATGAAACCGGATTATTGTCTAATGTCATACACAAAAGTAAACTCAAAATAGATCAAAGACCTGAATGGAAGTCATGAAATCATAAAACTCTTAGAAGAAAACATAGGCAAAAATTTCTTGAATATAAACATGAGCAACTTTTTCCTGATCACATCTTCTCAGGCAAGGGAAACAAAAGCAAAAATGAACAAGTGGGACTATATCAAACTAAAAAGCTTCTGTACAGCAAAGGACACCATCAGTAGAACAAAATGGCATCCTACAGTAGAGGAGAATATATTCGTAAACAACATATCCGACAAAGGGTTAACATCCAAAATATATGAAGAACTCACATGCCTCAACACCCATAAAGCAAAAACCCTATTTAAAAATGGGTAGAGGTTATGAACAGACACTTCTTCAAAGAAGAAATTCAGATGGCCAACAGGCACATGAAAGGATGCTCCACATTGCTAATTATCAGGCAAATGCAAATTAAAACCACAGTGAGATATCACCTCACAGCAGTTAGGATGGCCAACATTGAAAAGACTAGGAACAACAAATGCTGGTGAGGATGCAGAGAAAGTGTACCTCCTACACTGCTGGTGGCAATGTAAATTAGTTCAACCATTGTGGAAAGCAATATGGAGGTCCCTCAAAAAAACTAAAAATAGAAATACAATTTGACCCAGGAATTCCGTTCCTAGATATCTACCCTAAGAAAGCAAGATCTCAGATTCAAAAAGACATATGCACCCCTATGTTTATCGCAGCACTATTTACAATAGCCAAGATAAGGAAGCAGCCTAAGTGTCCATCAATAGATGAATGGATAAAGAAGATGTGGTACATATACACATGGAATACTCTTCAGCCATAAGAAGAAAACAAATCCTACCATCTGCAACAACATGGATGGAGCTAGAGGGTACTATGCTCAGTGAAATAAGCCAGGTGGAGAAAGACAAGTACCAAATGATTTCACTCATCTGTGGAGCATAAGAACAAAGCAAAAACTGAAGGAACAAAACAGCAGCAGACTCACAGAACCCAAGAATGGACTAACAGTTACGAAAGGGAAAGGGACTGGGAAAGATGGGTGGGAAGGGAGGGATAAGGGGAATAAGGGGCATTACGATTAGCACATGTAATGTAGTGGGTGGGGCCATGGGGAAGGCAGTATAGCACAGAGAAGACAAGTGGTGACTCTGTGGCATCTTACTACACTGATGGACAGTGACTTCAGTGGGGTATGGGGAGGACTTGATAATATGGGTGAATGTAGTAATGTTTTTCATGTGAAACCTTCATAAGAGTGTATATCAATGACACCCTAAAAAAATACATAAAAAACATTTTTTTATTTTAAAAATATTAAAAACAAACAACTCCCCAGTGTCTGCAGAATAAATGAAGTTCCTGTATGAGGCACTGCCAGCTTCCCCAGGTCCAGCTGCCCTTTCAGAAGGCAGCAGCTGGCAGCTGATGTCTGCTCTGACCAGGCCCTTTGCTCAGGGCAGGGGTACAGAGATAAGTGGGGCATCCATCCTAACTCCAAGGAATTCTTCATTTACCAAACAGTACGATGGGCACAGGGAGAGGAGGGGTCAGGGTAAAGCACTGGAGGGGCCCCTGGCCAGGCTGGAAGAGGAGGAAACTGGGGGGCTCCCCAGGAGTCGGTGTGAAAGCTGCATGGAGAGGTGGGTATGGGAGGAGCTACTCTGATGACCCCTGAGCCCGTGTGTTCCCTGTCCTCACTGCCGAGCAGCTTGTGGGCACCCAAGAAACAATACCGGACATTCGGGTGCAGTCTGTGTGTGTCTGTAACATCTTGGTTTGCCCTAGTTGGTGGACAGTTTATCTAGGATTAGTACTCTTTTTCTTTCCCATTTGTCCTTTTGTGTTGCTTTCAGAAAGTCTCACTTTGATCTTCTGGGTAATTAATTATGTCTTCAGCTGTCTGTTGTATGATCTAAACCACCTATTGAGATTTTACTTTCTACTGTCAAATGTTTCATTTCAAAATCTCTAGCTGGTTATTTTTCATAACTGTTTATTCTTGTTTGATTGAGCCTATGAATCATTTTCGTTTCAGGGTCACCTTCAGTCTGCTCTGACAACCCTCTTCTCTCAGGTTTGATTCTTTCAAATGATGAATTTGGTTCCTGCCTCCAGTTGTCATAGAGGACGTGGGGATGTGCTCTAGGTGTGTGGCCATCATTAGTGGCCTGAGAACAGGGTTTCCTGTGCTTCCTGGTGTCATCAGCCACCCATGCTGCCCTCCACTGCCTGCCCAAGCCTGGGGGACACAACTCTGTGCCTGGACATTTGTGCAGTTGGTGGGTGGCAGGGGATCAGAGTCTCCTCCTTTCTGACCCTTGTGCCAAGACCCTGTCCTGCTCTGGCGTCTGTCACCTCTGAACTTGAGGCCCCCACAGCTGCTTCTGCTTTGTCCAGCATCCTCTCCTGTGTGCACTGTGTGGGCGGTGGTTCCCCCCCTTGGTCCATCCCAGCCCAGATTCCATCAATCCCTCCTACCTTCCGGCTCACCAGAGATACACGTGTCTTCATAGACTGTAAGAGCTGTGTTCTCTTTTTGCTTATGACTTTTTCTATCAATTCTGAGGACTTGTGGTGAAAGAGAGAAGCCAGTCGGTGTGTTTGGTTTACTATCGTTTACCATGGTTTAAAAGTGTCAGTGAAGGATTAAATAGCTGACAATACAGTGAGAAATTACCAGGCCAAGACTAAGAAAAAGCAGAATCCAGAGAGATAAATGGGACGTTGAGGCTGCTTTTGCCTCAGGTGAATTTGAGCTTTGGGTCCAGTGGTATCCAGCAGTGACGGGAATACAAGCCAGGGCCCACTGAGCTAGCAAGTCCACTAGGAAATCTATATTCCCTCATAAGTCTAGGACCCTCAGGGGATGGCAAGGAAAGGCGTCCTGGTCTTGAGCAGTGCAGGAGGGTAAGAAAGCTCTAAGGAATTATAAACACAGTTCAGCTGCCTTTTAGATTTGCAGCCCAAATTCCCATCACCTTGGTGTTCCAGAATACCTGAGTGCATAAACTTAACCTCAAGTGGTTCCAGACCAGCAATGCCTGCTAGGTGTCTGACAGCTGCAAACGCATGTCCTTTCTGGAGGAAGCCATCCTCGTGTTAGGCCTCAGAGAACGCCCACAAAGAAGTTCCCAGGATGACGAGCAGCAAGCAATAACAGATAACCAAGTGCTCAAGGAAACAAGCGAAAACCAGCAGAAACAATAGACAACACAAATAGATCAGTGCAGACTGGTTACCTGGATTCCCAGACACAGGTTATAGTCAACTGTGTTGATTATGTTTAAAGCAAATATCGGGACAAGGACCTACAGACAGTGACTAGCATAGTTGAAAAAAAGTGCCAAATAGAACTTGCAGAAATGGAAAGTACAGGACACAAAATGAAAGATTCTGATACTATAGGTTAAAAGGAAATTAAACAGTGGTGAAGAGATTAGTGTGCCGGAAGACAGTGCTGAAGGGGCGACTCAGAACACAGCGCAGAGAGACAGGACCTAGTAACGGGCGGCTTGAGGGAAAAAACACAGCAAACAGTAAGTTGTGAAAGAATGAAAAATGTCCCTTTCAATAAAGGAACAAGACAAGGATGACTGTTGCTATCACTTCTTTCCAGTGTAGTGTTGGAAGTACAGAAAAGCCAGGGAAAAAATGTATAAGGACTGGGGAGGGAAAAATAAAATGATCATTATTCCCAGGTAATGTGAATGGGAGCAAAGAAACATTAAAAAGATTATAATTATTAGGACTAATAGGAGAGGTTAGTAAGACTGTTGAATATACATACACACACACAAATATATATATTTCCACAGCAACAAGCAGGTAGAAAGACTTTACCTAAAAAAGATTGATAATAACATCACAAACAGGTATCTAGGAACCAAAAAGAGAAATCCCTTTCTTTACAGGGAAGATAAAATTTCTTAAAAGACATTAAAGAAGCCCTAAATGAATAGAGAGATAGTCCCTGTATAAAGCAGAAGACTTATTATTGCAAAGATATCAGTTCCCCCCAAGTGACCCATACTTTTTATAACCACAACACAATCCTCAAGTTTCCCCCCCACCCCACCTGAATGTGACAAGCCAATTCCAATACATGCATAAGGAAATGTAAAGAACCAGGATTAGTCAAGACTCTTAAAACAAAAAATAGGTGGGAGGACTTGCTCTAGCAGATGTTAGGGTTCATTCTAAAGCTGTGGTCACTGAGCCAGGTTGGTACAGGGATGGACAGACGGACTACTGGGAAAGTCTGCAAACAGATGTGTGCAATGTCTGTGCACTCAACTTAGGACAGAGAAAGGTCTGCAGAACAGCAGGGGAAGGTGTTAGAGAGAAGTTGGGCCTTGACTCCTGGAGGGGAGAAATGGGGGTGTTGGCCGGTAGGTGTTAGAGAAGCAGGGAGTCTCCGTGGGAGCTTTGTAGAGTCATTGCCCTATCCCAGCCTCAGCTCTCCCCCTTGTAAAATAGCAGATCGAGCGAGGCGGCCCTGGGGAGCCAGCTCTGCCTGGACGTGCTCACCCTCTCTGCAGCAGAAAGCCGGCACATGAGGTAGGCTGCGCCACTGACCACCTTTCCATGTCTCTTGTCCTTCCCAAGGTGTCCTCAAGACAGAGTGCCGAGGACCACGCGGAGAGCAGCGGTGTCTCTGGGTAAGTACAGGGCCACATCTCTTCTGCCAGAAGCCACCGGTTCTTGGCTCCAGCTTCCACCACAGCCCCGTGGCTCCTGGGTCCCACCCAGCTCCTTTTCCAGATGCAGCTCCTCTTTAAAGGGAAGGTTCCAGTCACAGGAACATGCAGAAACCTTACAGTCTCACAGCAGCTCTGACCTTCTCCTGAAAAGGCCGTGGCCCAGATTGTACAAGGCATCCCCACCTCACTCGTCCACTCAGAAACCACACGCAGCGACACATCTGAGAATCAGCCAGCTTCGGCTTTCAGGAGTTCCCAGCCGAGAGGGATGACAGATGGGTCCCCTGCCATCCCATTACAGTGGCATCAGGAAAACCAACTAAAAACCTCTGAAAAGTGTCAGCTGAGGACGCCGACCAGAGGCCAGGCCTTCTGTGTCTGCTCCTGGCCACCCCGCATGACCCCGGGCTGCATGAGAGTTACAGGGCACCAGGAGCAGCCTGCAGGAGACTCAGCTGGATGACCCTGGACCCCTGGCCTGCCTCCCCTTTAGCAGCCTCACCTCCAACAGGGTGACAGAGACCTGCCCCATCACTGGGATGCAGGAGACTGTTGTGCTCAAGACCACGGATGTGAAAAGCTGGGAAAGTACTGGCTTAACAGCTATTTTTTATTACCAATTCCAAATGGTTTCATGGCAAGATCCTGGCTGGCTTCCCTTATTTAATGGAAGTTTGTGGAGGTCCTTCCCTGCAGAGCTTGGTCCTGGAAAGTGCAGGCGTGGGCCTGAGGGAACTCGGAGAGGGGCAAAAGCAGCCAGAGGGCTTGCGGAGGGGCTGGGCTGTGAAGGGCACGTGGGCGTTCTCAGGAGGAAGGAGGGAAGGAGCCATCCAGGCAGCAGGACAGGAGGTCTACAGCACCAGACGCTCAGGACACCAGTATGTGGCACAGAGGCTGTGGGAGGGAGTGGAAGGGGGAAGTGTGGGAATGTAGGGAGGACTTTGAATGACACGCTGAACATGCCACTGCTTTCAAGTAAAGAATGTGGGACAGCTGCGGGCTTGGGGCCACGCGGCAGCAGCAGACGTGAAGCAATGAGAACATTTACACCCCTCTCCCACCAGCGGCCAAGGCCGAGAGTCTTTGAGCAGAGTGGGGCGCCAGGCCTCCCTCATACAACCCGCTTCTCGCTTGTTTAGCAAACTTGCCTGGAGGTGGGCCGGGTGCCTGGCTCCTGTGTGTGCCCGCCTGTGCTGGGACACAGCTCCGTGTCCCGCTGCAGCGATGGCCCCAGGCCAGGCGGCTCTGCCTGGCTGACCCAGATGCCCGGGCACTTGACTCAGTGCTGAGAACCTGGCCTCGTCCAGACTGTGGGCCCGTGGAGTGATCCACCTGACTCGGCTGGCTGAATGTTTCTGCTGATTCCAGGGAGAATCAGCAGTGACTTTCTCTAGTTTTCACCAATCCATGGAATTTAGGAGGGCTTATTTCTACCTTAAATGAATTAGCTATTTCTTATTTTTAAACAAATTGGTCCCTTTGCCTCCCATGCACACTGCAGGCCACCCCTCAGCTCCTCACCCTCACCAGGAGACCTCACTGCTTTCAAAGGGTGCCCTGAGCCCCAGGCACGGGGTGTTGGCAGCCCGCCCTGGTGCAGCTGATCACAGGGAGGTGAGCTCCAAGGACACACAGGAATCCCCAGGTCATTCCAGCCACAGCCACCGCCTCTGCCCCCCTGCTAGGGCTCCGTGGCCTTTGGGGAGAGCGTCCTGGGCCAGGGCACCACTCTGCTGGGCTTCTCACTGCCCACAGGGCTCCCCTGCACCCCCAGGCCTCCCTCCCCGTGCAGACCTGATGCTAGCACTCTGTGCTGGTTTCTGCTGTGGCCACCCTTCCCTCCCGCCTCTGCCCCCACCCCAGCTCTGCTGTCAGAATCCCTCAGAGCAATGCCTCAGGGAGATACGTCTGTCGCCTGCAGGTGTACTTGGAAATGCACCCAGAAATCAGAGGAAGTAGACAGCTATGTAAGAGAATAAATCCAGCAAAAAATATGTATTTACTTACTCGTTGAATCTGCTATTTAAACTTTTCCGTATGTTTGGAAGTCTTCATACTGAACTGTTGAAGAGAAAAATCCTTCAAAGCCCAGTTCAAATACCTCCTCCTCAGAAGCTCTCCGCCTTCCCTCGGTCCTCGTCAGCCCAAACTCTCTCCCTCCATCGGCAGCATGGTGGGTTTGTCTCTTACCGTTAGCCTCTCGAACTGGGGCCACTGCCCGACTCACCTCTGGTCCCTCACAGCAAGGCACACACAGGAGGCGTTTCACAGATGCCTGTTGAAGGGAACATTTGATGTGAACCTGGACCGTGTGGACCTTGACCCCCGAGTCTGCCCATCGTGATGATGACCATGTCCTTTCCTGAGGACAGGGGTGGGGGCACAGAAGCAGCAGAGCTGAGCCGGCTGGTCTGGCACCGAGGGCAGGGCCAGGCTGGCCTGAAGTCTGAGGCCCGGGTAGCAGAAGTTGAGGGCCCATGGAAGGGAAATGCCCGGATTCTGGAAGCTTCTGTCTGTGCCTGCTGCTGAAGGGTCATCCAGCCCAGCCCCTGGGCTCACATGTAGGAAAACAGAGGCTGGGAAGGGACGGGTCACCCCAGCTGTCTGGCCGGCAGAGCAGCGCAGGCTCCTTCCCCAGTGAGGCAGTGAGTCTGCCTGGCGGGTGGGAGGCCACCATCCCAGCTATGGCAGTGGCCAGCTCTGGGCTGCAGACCCTACACCCCTTCAGAGGCTGCGGCCAGCTAGCAGCCCCCAGCCAGGGCACCCCCACTCCCTCCCCTTACCTGTTGAAGGTGCCCTGGAGGCAAGGCAAGTGCCGGGTACACACTGACATGGCCACGGAGCGGCCTGGAAGCCAGGGTAGGTCCCCCAACAACAAGCGCACCCAAAGCCCCAAGACGTCCAGAAAGCCAGGGGTGTGTGGGCAGCCACGTACAGGCTGGTGGGAGTCCCATTCTGGAGCCCGGGCAGCTGGAGCCTGCCCAGCTGTGGTCACCCCTCAGCACACTACACAGAGGCTTGGGGAAGGGTCAGGAAGCCAACGTCCAGTCCTGTCCCACAGCAGCAGCTCCTGGGCCGCCCCGAGGGCGCAGGTGGGGGAGTTAGTCAGCTAAGGTGGATCTCGGCAGCGCACACTTGGCTAAGGGCTGTGCAGCATGAGGATTCGGGTCATATGCTAGCTGCATGTTATCTTATTGATGCACAGAATGAATTTCTGAATAGAGCTCCATTTTAGAGAAAATTTTGATGTCGAGAGATGCAAATGCCTTGTCCAGGGTGGCCAAGAGAGTAGGTAGCAGGGCTGAGATTCAAATTCTGGTCTTTCCACCCCGAGGGCCCTGACCTTTACAAGAGGCAGGTGCGAGCTTCCTCGTGAGCAAGTAAGGTCTTGGCAGATCCTGCTGTGGGAGATGGAGCCAGAGAACTAGGCAGAGGCCTGCTCATGTAAGAGATGAACAAGTTTTCCTCAAGGGCAATGGTTTTCATTTTGGTTTTAGGATGGACAAGGATTCCATCAAGGGGCCACTGTGGTTGTCCAGGGGAGATGATGAGTTCGAACGTGACATCTCGCCTCCTGGCCCCCGACTAACCCTGGTGTTTCTGGCCCACAGAGCCCCAGGCAGCAGCCACAAGAGTCCCGAGAGACAGTCAGCCATCTCGTACGACTGCTCGGAGGAGGAGCTGATGGCGAGCATCGAGCGGGAGCACAGCCGCTGAGCCGCGCCGCTCCTCGGGACCCGCCCTGCCTGCCCAGGCCCGGGGATGGGGGGGGTGCGCTCCCTGTCTTTGCAAGTCCATATTCAGATGGTTCTGAATGTGGCCGGCACCTGGCCTTCAGGCTTGCTGGCAAGGGGTGGTCGGCTGTGCTGACCCCGGTCAGAGGGAGGGGCAGGCGCGGCCCACAGGTGGGCAGGGGCGTCTCCCTGGGGCGGCTCCTCCCTCAGCCTCGGGCAGGGTCTGGCTGCAAGGGTCTCGTGGAGCCAGAACTGCTTCCCCCTTCGGAGGGCTCCCTCCCCAGCCAGGCTGGGAAAGGCTCATTAGCTGAACCTGGCTCAGACTGGACACCTTAGGGCCTCTACGACACGTGCCGCAGCACTTCAGGAAGGTTCCCCTGGAGGGGGGGGCGCCCTCAGTTCTGCAGATGAATCACCTGGAGATGTTGAAATGCAGATTCTGGCTCTGAGGGTCTGGGCGGGGGGTGGGGGGGCGCCTGCGTGTCTAACCAGCTCCCCCGTGAGGCCCACGCTGCTGAAGCCCAGACATGCTTGAGCAGAAAGGATTGAGTCTAAGCTGTAGACCTTCTCAGACTCTTCCTTCCCTGGGGCCTCGGAGCACCCCTTGCCTCCCCGCAGAGGCCCGGGCCTCCAGTGGGCATGGTGCCCAGGAGCCCTGTCCTGGCCTCCCTCTTGCACTAACGTGCAGTCACTTCCCTCCCTGGGCCTCAGTTTCCCTTTTTAGAAGCGCCTCCCAGAGGCTCTTCTGGGCGCTCCCCGCTCTGACAAGACAATCCAGGGCTACACAATTCCAGGTTTCTTTGATCTCCACGGTTTCCCCACCCTCCCGGGGCACTGAACTGCTTCCCCTGCTGGGGGTGAGCACCCTGGACCCACCTGAGAGGGTTTTCAGGAACCACAGCTCTCCTGACAAACGCCTGACAGGACCTTCTCACTCTCTTCCCACCCGGTGGAAGGTAGAAAATCAGCAGTGAAAAAATCCCCAGCTGTCAATGAGAAGCCCACTTGCCAAGGGCGAGTGACCCGGAAGCACCCTGAGGGGAACCGCAGCCTGTTTGGAAGGCGGGCCTTCCGCTGTGGGCGTGGGCGTGGGAATGTCCGGGTGGGGCGTGGTCAGAGCCAGGAGGCAGGGAAGCAGGCCCCTCTGGAGCTCTGGCAGGGCCTTCGGTGCAAAGGAACACGTGGGGGCGATGGCAGCTTTTGCCCAGGCCAGAATAGGCCTCAGCTTGTCTGTACCACTGACACGGTGGCCTCCCTGGTGTTGCTGGCAAGATGCAAGGGCGACTTGGAAACCACTGAGCAGCCATTTGGCATGTCTCCAGACCTACAGGCCTGTGGCCACCGTGGGCAAATGGGTGTTTGCTATGAACTGTTACTACTTGACAAGAGTGCCTGGGATCAGATGTCCCATGGCTGGGAGGCTTCTCACTGCAAAGTCAGAGGCTGGAACCGCGGAGCCTTCGAACAAATGCCCCTGAAGGGCTGACACAGAACCCTCTGCTCAAGACAAGAGCTATTTCTTTTCTGACTCCAAACCATTTCTTTTGATGTAAAGATTAAAGTCGTTACTATTTTAATAATACAAATACTTCTTTTAAAAGCAGTTGAAATTTGCTTTCTCACCACCAGATGAATCAGGCCTTGAATTTGATGACATAAAATGTTTACAACTTTACATTATTATTTTGTTAAAATGGAACACATTCATCCAGTTTCCAAAAGAAAGGTGATACTTCTGTATTTTCCAGTGGAAACCTCATGAAACCATTAATGAGATGAAAGTGTTAAGAAAACACACATTTCTCGTATAGTTGCTGCTGCTCTCAGTGTCAGGTGACTGTGCTAAGTGACCGCTCTAGTTCTTAGGTCTCTTTTTTATTCTCTGAATTCAGGACAAGTCTTCTGAACACTGGGCTTCCCTAATGTCAGGTGTGACTAGGGCCGCAGTAAAGCAGTGTCCCCAGCTGCAAAGCCGCCCCACAACCACTGCGCTGGAAACACTAGGAAGCTTCAGGGGGCCAGTCGGGAAGCAGAGGGCTGCTTCTACCAGACGTGTGTCAAACCTGGCTCGGGGCCTTCTCTTAGTTGCTTGGTGTTGCTTCTGAGCCTGAGCCTCCCGCTCCGGAGCTGGGTGTGGAATCTGCACACAGACGGGAGGAATATGGCTGCAATAGAGGCAGGAAGACAGTCTCAAAGTTGAAAGTGACGACACGGATTAATGCTGGGAAAAGTCTAAGGACCACAAGTGTGTCTCCCAGTTTCTGTGGTGTGGGGGCTCCTCTAAGATGCTACAAAGCACCGGGAGTTTGGGAAACATGCTCCCATCCCTGCTCTAGGAGATGCTGTGTCTGCTTTCTTGGGGAAGGAACCCAGCCCTGTCTCCCTCCTTTGGTCCCATGTGTTCCAGGCCTCTCCTGGCTCACCCAAGGGGTCCCCGGCTAGATCTGGTGCCCTGCTCCTCACTGGGAGATGAGTGTGTCTGAGACACTGCCCTCCAAGATCAGAGCCGCCCCCCATGGGGCTGCCGTCCTGGGCTGTGCTGAGCTAGCCCTGGTGGCTGTCCCCGGAGGGTTTCTGTCCAGTGCTGGGCCTGCTCATGTGCCCTAAGTCCCTGCTGCCGAGGGTCCAGCAGGGGAGTGTAGCCAGTGCCCCTCTGGACGTCTAACCTATGTTGGGGTTGGGGTTCTTTCCCCTTTCTGGCCATAGTTAGGCAGTAGGAAAACCTTGGTTGCCACCAAAGGATAAATCACATTTGAAGCTCAGAAGGTCAGTACCCTCCTCCAGGAAGGAGCAGCATAAATTCATACGTTTGGTGTGCTGACATCTGACCCCCAGGGGATAAATCAGGCTTTAACAGGTGGGCAGGGCTCTACTTTCTGGTGTGATAAAAACTTTAGTTTCCAGAATAGCAAAGGAAAAACTGCATTTTCCGTGGAGTGTGGACCCTGGGAAGGAAAGATGACAGTAATTTTAGGTCCTTGAGAGGTGGATGACATCCGAAGGACGTCTTGTGGGGCTAGTGACTGCACAGGAGACCGAAAGAGCATGTGGTTTCGTGTGTTCCCAAGGGCACAGGACTGTTCTTCCCAGATTCGGGCCTCCACAAAGGTCAGGGGCCCGCGGTAGCAAGAATCACAGTAGCCATGTTGGGAAAGTCCCAGCTCTGTCCCTGGGGAGTAGCCATTGGCAAAACCCCAACTTGTGCTAAGTAAGCCCCAAGAAGTTTAGGAGAGTTTGTAGAGAAGGGGAGAAACTGCCTTGGGAGGGTTGACTTTCCTACCAATCTGGCAGGAGAGAATGTGAGGGAAAAATCAAAATAGTGAGGCCTTAGGAGAGTGAAGCACAGGTGCCAGAAACATTCTTGTGCGCGTGCGTGCGTGCGTGCGTGCGTGCGTGTGTGTAACTCATGCAGCACGCACTTGATAAGGGCTTGCTCCATGCTGGCTCTGCTCGGGGTAGTGGTGGTGGGAGGTATGAAATAAAGACACAACAGGAAAGCACAAAGGGCCAGCAAGCACAGGGGCTTGTGGGCTGATCCTGTCCCCGCTGCTCACCACCCCTGGGAAGGTAGGGCTGACAGCAGCCAGGCTCCCTGGGGAGGCCGCTCAGCCTCCGCAGCCAGAGCCGGGAGGGCGTGAACTGCCAGGGGGCCCCGGGGTGGGGGTAGGGAGTAGCCCGCACACGGGTGTTGGCCTCAGTTCCCAGCATGTCATCTCAGCAGCTTAGCTTCCCTGACTTCTCAGCGGGCAAATGGCCCCTGCTCGTCCTACTGCCCATGAGTCTAGGAGGCCGGAACCACAAAAGGCCGGCTTGGGGCTGTCACGGCAAAGCCCAGGTCAGTAAGAGGAGGCAGCCTGGTCGTGTGTGGGGGGCCCTTCTTGGGCCCCTTGGTGTGGGCTGGGGAGCTTGTCTGTGCCCAGGGGCGGCTGCTCCATAGCAGGCCAGCTGGGGCTCAGGTCTGGGGTTGTGTCTACCAGGAGGCACAACTGTTCCTCAGGGACACCCCTGAGGTTACAAATGGGGACCCATGGCTTTGAACCTCAGCCCGTTTACCAGCAGGCATTGTACATTTTTCTGTATTCCCTACATAGAGGTTTCTGAGGATCCCCCTCAGGCGTTTCCAGGGATTCAGCGTCACTGGGGGGATGGGCGGCTCGTGCTCCAGTGCGCCTGCCGAGGCCACCCGCGGGAGTTGGGCCCCTGGGGCAGCCAGAGCCCGGGTCCCAGGGTCAGCCGAGGCAGGGGGAGGCTGTGCCGCCCTCCTCCGACACCCTGGTAGGAGTACTCCACAGAAGACACCCCGGGCACCTCGTGTCACTGCTCTTTTACTTCACACACACACCGCCACCTGCCCTGGCTTGAACACTGAGTCAGGTGGGCACAGGGCCCCCAACCCCACGCTCTAGGCCAGCAGCGTGCTGTCCCACTGTGTGCACCTCTCATGCTCCCTCTGGGGCTTATCCTCAAGAGCATGGACCTGACCATGCAGGGCCACCCTTAGAGAAGCTGATGAAAGTGAGGACCCCTCAGCCCGGAAAATAGACACATGCCATATGCACACAACATGCCTTCCGTCTCAGGGTGCTTGTTCCCCACACCTGTGCACGTGCTGGCTGCTCAGGCACCTCTGCGCTGTCCAGTTAGCCCTCTCCGTGCCCTTCTCACTTCCTCAGCACTGTCCTGAGACCCCTCGTCCCTTGGTGCCCCTGGACCCTCAGCGCCATCTCCTCCGCTCAAGGACTCCCCAGGGGCCTGCCTGAGCTCTCTCCTGCACAACCTGGAAACTTCCTTAAGGCAGCAAATGGCCTCACCCTACTTCCTGTCCCTCGTGGGGACTGTCTTCCATGACCTAAGCTCTAGTTCCTGGATAATCCGGTATCAGAGATTTTGTTGGGTGGGTTTTCCCTCATTACTTCAGATGTGGGGGCATATTTGTTTCTGTTACTCCATCTTGGGAAGTCATATTACTATTATTTTAATGCTTACACTGTCAAAAAGAAAAGGGCTAGTGGGAGCCCCTTTGACTGATGCCTTTACCCTCTGGCACGGCTCTTGAAGGCAGCTGGCAATGGGAGAACACCTGAAGTCCGTTCTGGTATTTCTGAGCTCTGCCTCCTGTTGGCAGGAAGCAGCTAAGGTTTCTCCTTCATACAAGGTAAAAGCACCAGACACCAAGACAGGCATGCTACCTGCCGTATGAAGGAAACTGAAGCATAGCAAGGCGCCACACCTGCCCCAGCAGTGTGCGGCAGGACGCAGTCACACCTGCACCCAGGCCTCACAGGGCTGGATCTGCACAAACCTGCCAAGCTGCCCGCCAGGGGGTCAGGGAGGGTCAAACCTCTCCGCAGGGAAGAAGGCCGCTCTCTTCCCTGCTGCGCCCTGCCCTGGGCCAACAGTGTCCCCGGGAGTCCCCTGGGGCTGGGGCTGCCCCGTTCCTTGCCTTTCTCACGTCTTCCATCTGGACCTTGTGCCCTTGCCTCACGGTCTGTGGCCTTCTCGTTCCTCCAGCAACTCCAGCCAGAACTGTCTGCCCAGAGCTTCAATTTCCTCCATTTAATGAATCCTGAGGGGTTACCTCCTGAGCCTTGCAAGGTGCTCAGCCTTAGGAACACAGACAAGCCACAAGGGCTGCCAGCACTGTCCTCAGGAAGCTCACTGTCTATGGAGGGGACAGACAGGTAGGCAGAGAGGCCGGATTACAGTGACAGGCGTCATGAGAGGTCCGGCAGTTCAGCCAGGAGAGGTGGTGGGGTGCTGGCACTGAAGAGGAATTCAGAGAAGAGGGAGGAGGGATAAAGGCCCACAGCCTCTCCAGAATCCAGGTGTCTGGAGCAGGTGTGAGCTGCCTCCCCACCCTGGCCCTGGGGAGCCCTCAGCTCTGCTCACCTGGCCTTACAGAGGGCTGCTCCCCCCACACCACCTCCTCCACCCCCACCAGGGCCCTCCCCTTCCACCCCTGGTGCCCATGGCCTGGTGTGCACGCCAGCATCTTAGTTCTGCACGTGCTGCTGTTCTGGTCCCACGCATGGGAAGCTCTTCCCTTGATGTTCAGTCCAGCGACCCCCCGACTTCTGGCGGCACAGGCCGTCAGCCGCGGTGTGAGCTCCCTCTCCCTCCCGTCTCTCTCATCCTGCTTACTGCTCTGAATGGTCCTCGCGTGTCCTCATGTCTTACCTCCACGATTATGAGTTTTTTGGGGGCAGGAACTAGGATGACTCACCTCTGGGTTTCTGCCCCCACACAGCAGGGGTTCACTGCATGTTGCGGGACAGGTGGCTGGCTGGACGTGATCTGGTCCCTTCATGGGGCTGCTTACACCTCAGCAGGTAGGTTAGACCGGCAACAAAGGTCAATGAAGTATAGCAAATTCCTACTGGGAGTCAGAGTCCCTAGTCCTGAAGGAGTCCAGAGCAGGGCCCAAGGGGCAGCTCTGCAGAGGCTGCGAGCAGAAACCCGGTGGGGAGAGCTGGGGCGGCAGGAGCACTTGGCCGCCACTGCTTGTACTGCTGTCACCTCACTGGGCACGTGCATCTCCCACCCCAGCTCTTGGCTTGTGGCATCTTTGTTTCTTCCTTCCCATCTACCATCTTTGCTTGATGGCAAACTTGTCCTCTGTGCTCAGGAAGACTGTGCCCGGGAGAGGAAGGCTGTTGACAAACTAGCTCAGGGCAATGCCAGAACCCACTAGGCTTCTTAGGGAGTGCCGAGAACCTCCCGAAGTCAAAGGGGACTCTGTGTCTCAGCCTTCTGGGGTAGGGGGTTCTGGTGCCTGGGCTTCCGCCGCCCAGGATGGAGCACAGCTGTTAGGAAAACACCTCAAGTTCCTCATTTCAAAAGTCTCTAAACAAAGAGGCAGGTTGAAAGCAACGAAATAGTATTACACCAGAAAGCAGTTAGAACCTTGGTGACAAGAGGGAGGTCAGCATGTCCAAAGTCACAAAGTTCAGGGCAATAGGCTTGTAGCCATCACCTGGATACAAAGCGGTTTGGAGTTGGGGAGTTTTCTAGGTAGATTGCTAAATGCAAAGTCCATCATGGTAATTTACCGCCCCTCCCCAACCCCCAACATGCCTGCATGCACACGCAGGAGCATGACTAGGACCAGTGTGACCTGTGGAAACACATCTACATACCATCCCTACCATCACATCCCAGGACAGGCAATTTTGGAAGGCAGGGGGCCAACAGGATTGCATCAGATTGCATGTGGAATGAGAAAAGAGCCCAGGGTACCTCTAAGGATTTGCACCTGAACAGTTGAAAGGATGGACTTGCTACCCTTTTCAAAGACAATGGGGTTACCTGTGAGGAGAGCACGTATGGCAAAGAGGAGGAGGAGCTTGGTCATTTCAAGTGTGAGATGCTGACTGAGCAGGTAGCAAGTACCAGGCGGATACAGGAATCTGAAGATCAGGTGAGAGGTGCAAACAACACACACACATTTGGGGGTCTTCATGGCAGAGAGACTGTTTTTATCTAAGTCACAAGGGTGGAAAAGATCACCAAGGTATGAAGGGGAACAGGAGAGCAGTCAGGGAGATGATGGGGACCAGCGAAACAGCAGACAGTGAGGCGGGAGGGAAGCAGGACAGTGTGGCCTGCAGGAGGGCTCACCTCTGCCCAGTGCTGCTGCTAGACTAACGCAGTGACTGAGGACTGAACCACAAGTCTCTGGCAACAGACACAGCAGCTCCTTTAATGGGATGTGGAAGCAAAACCCCAATTGAACTAGGTTCAAGAACATGCACCCCAAGAGCAAGAGTGAAGACTGTGGCTCTGTAACGTAACTGTAAAGCCTGGGCTGGTGATGGATGGAGGAAGGAAAGGGATTTCCTCCATTCCAGCTCCTGGCACAGGAAGAGTGTAAGGACAGAGGGACACAGGACACCCGGAACCTGTGGTTCTGTCTTGCCAGGCCCAGGTCCAATGTCAGCAGCCAACACACAGGCAGCCTCTTCACACATTTCTTTCAGAAAGAACTCTCCAAGGAGTCTAAAGGGGCTCTGGGAGCAGGAGAGAATCCCAGAAAACAAAGAGGAGGGTTAGGTTGGGCTAATATGCAATGAATTTTGTAGATTGTTTTCTGAAGAGTCAAAGGTATATTGTAGTGCAGCTGAATGACACAGGACACAAGTGCAGTTTGCAAATCAAAAAAGTTTTATATGGTTCAGAGAAAAAAGAAACACCACACATATTCATTTAAATAATAAGTCAAAGTCCGTTACATAAAACGTAATTCCAAAACATTTAAAATTTTGTTATTGAAACTACTTAAAAGGCTCAAAGTAAAAAAAGATCAAGCAGAATGCTCAGGCAATAAAGTGCACTGGGGGGCCTGGCCTGCCGCACACGCTCTGCTTCCAGCGCCCAGAGGCACCTGCAAAGAGCCTCCGCACTCAAACAACAAACCGCAGGGTGCTGGCTCTTAGGATAGTATTTCTCAGATGGAAACTGTTTCCCAATTTATAATCTTTTGATTGACAAAAAGAAGGCCAAAAAAGGTCCTTTAGAGGAGGTATTTCTAGAACTAATCAGGAAATGGAAGTGTAAATTCAAAACCATTTTTAACACATCTATTCTTCAGAAACAACACTGCTCAGAGAACGAAGCTCAACGTGACAAGCAACTAAATACTCAAAAGACCTTGTATTATCCACCAGAACATTAGTAGGACTAACAATATTTTGCATAATTAAGAAAAATATCCAAATTTAATGCCATTTACGGCATACACATAGTCAGAAATGTTTATGCTGATTTAAGATGTGAACGGGAGAAAGGATTAGGTGGTGGAGAAATATGAACTATATACAATTTAATTATGGTTCTCGTGCAACTGTATCATGTCTTATGACCAGTAGGAATACTCAATTATGGAAGTGCCCAAAAGTAGGAAAGCCTCCTATACATACAGCCTGCACTTAGACACATATGTCAATTAGCAGTTCATACTAAAAGGCAATGTAATGGGCATCAATTAATACACAGTGAATGACCAGGTGAGGGTCAGCAGACTAAGCAGCTCAAAACCTAATTATATTTGTTCAGTATTTCACCCTACCATCATTTTAATAAAGACAAATGCCAGTAACTAAGCAAAGACAAAATCTAAATACAAACAGCACAATGAAAAGCCATTCCTAGGCTCACAAAGCAGTGCAACATTTGTGTATTCCTCACATGAATCCTGTTGCCTGGATTCCCAAAGCTGCCTAACAAAAGCATCTCAGTGGCTTCTTGGACACTGGGGCCGTGGTCTCTGCAGCTCGGATCTGCGTTCACGCAGCCTCAAAGTGGTACCCACGGTCTATTTTCTAGGCAGACTGAAAAACACACCATTCCAAGTAATTTTTTGTTTAGTTTAAACTATTTCCTTCAAACAAAATTAATGGAAGAGCAGCTGGGTAGTTACAACTGCCCTTTAGCATAACTTGCGTTTCCTATAGTTCTTAGTAACAACAGCAGACTCAGAACATTGGAGCTGGACCATTTGCACATACACGTCCCCTCAGATAAGCTGTACTTTGGTGGAAAGTTCCTCCAACCACTAAGGACATTTCCTTTTTAAGAAGTTACTCTACCCACAAAATACTCTGCATAAGGCCACAGCAAAAGACGTCAACTGACAATTGACAAAGCAGCTGGGTTTGAGTGTTTACATTTCCTTTTTTTGGTGAGACAAACAAGAAACTGAATAGTTTGCTCTCAGCACAGCAAGGGCCCAAAGAGATCCAGACACTCATATCCTACAGCAGCTCCTTGCTCATGATTTACCTACTGAGTATTTTATTCTTCAGTGTACATCCTTCAGAAGTCACGCTACGGACAGGTGACTAGCTGTACTGAACAGTAATTTCTTGGACTCCAGCCTTAAAGGAACGGTTGCCTGGCATTTCCCTTGAAATGTTATGAAAATGCTAGTAACTGCTGAACTTTTTTTCCCTGTTTCTTTAATGTCCCTATCAATCAGTACTGATTCTAAAAAAATTCTTCGATCTAAAAGGCTGGATCACAAACTCATGATTTTTTTTTTGGACAAGTTTACTAAAAGTAAGATTATTATAAAAATGTTGTTACACATTGAAAAAGAAGATTGTAAAATCATCTACATAGAAATTGGTGATTTTGGCACCACCAATATAAATTTCTTAATAAAAAACAGTATAAAAATTAGTACCCTGTCTCATTTCTACAAAACATGAATAGAAAAGTTGTAAAAATCCAGATTTTGTAAACTTTATTGCCAAAATGTTTCTTTGAATGCTGGTGATTTAGATGATCAAATTTTCTTCCATTTCCTTAAAAAAACTTCTGAAACTATAAAAGATATTGAACAGGGTCCCAACCAAAAAGAAAAGTTAACATACTTTTATCAGAACCAGCTCCCCACTTCTCCCTAACCCCCAAGACAATTTCTTCTGGACAGATAACCATCAGTTCCATTCCCGAAAAAAGGCTTTTAAAATTCCCACCAGCAAATCCTTGGCTGACCTTTCAGGCAGAGGCTGGCATACTCACTAGTGGGCTCCCAGGTTTCTCTGCTGAGGCAATTCTGTTCAGTTTGCCAACCTCTGCCTGCCAGCCAGGAATCTTCCTGGCAGTCATGTGGCGCCGGGTGTGCTTCGTCAGGTGGTCGCTGCGCATGAAGCGCCTCTCACACCCCGGGCACACGAACTTCTTCTCCCCGGTGTGAGTTCTCCGATGGCGGGAGAGTTCATCAGAACGCGCAAATTTTTTATCACAGCCATCCCAGCTACAGATGAAAGGCTTCTCTCCTAGGAGGTGAGGAAAACACATTATTAAAGAAAACATAAACATTCAGCACCTTACTGGACAAGTTAATTCATGTCATTTAAAAATTTTGTTCATCAAAATCTAAGTAATGCGCTATTATACTGGTATGGGGTTAATTCATAAGTCAAGAATTCCTCCGAGATGCATGTCTTCCTGCCACACCTAAGCTTTAGTATGTCAGGGCCCAAAGATGTCAAACTAATCTAACCTTTCAAGAGATATTTTTAAGTTAAAAATATATCTTGGTTCCTTACTGGGGAGTAAGGGTTTTTCTTTCTTTTTTTTTTAGTGTGGGCGGGGGAAGAATGGTTTATGTTGAATGTTTAGTTTTTCTTCTGCATGAAACATCTTGTGGGATCTTTAGAAAACTTCATACTGTATGAATAAGAAAATAAAATTTTGAAACTTGAAAAAAAATACATCTTTGACTGTTGTATATTGGGATAGGGGAAGATTCTTGAAAGGAATAATCCCTCCCCTCTCAGGAAGCTTCACATCTAAAACCACCCTCCCAAGGCTCTGAGGCTTCTCAGAATAATTAATTCTACCATCATGTTTGTTATTACACTGACAAAAGGGTTATAGACTAGGCAAGAATTCTAATAGTCACCTTGTTACAAGTTTCAAGTGTCTGCGTTATTCTTTCAGCTTCAGAGTACCTGGCAGGTGCCCCATATTCATCTTCCTGGAGTTAGAGGTGAGCCAGGAAGCCCTGTCCACAGGTAATGCACTAACCCTCTTCCCTGAAGCCCCCCTGGGTCTTTCCAGCCTGCAGGAGTGATCCCTTCCCTGCATCCCAAAGCCCTTGTCACCTGTCTGTGCGACCTCATGAACTGATGTTAAACACTTACACATTGCCATGTGGCCCACCTTCCCCAGGGCTTATGCTTGTCTAGGTCACCCACCAGTGCACAGTGAGGCCCCCAGCACAGCACTTCATAGAGCAGGTGCTGAGTATTTCTGAATGAGTGTTGAAGAGACACCAACTAAGTATTTGACGTTTTTCAAAGTTGAATGGACAGGAAAATTCAGCACCACAATAGTCTTTTATGGACCGTTCTAAGGAAAAAAGCCTAAACTTCAGATTTCAAAGACCCCATGTTGAAAGCATAAGGTTACCCTAACTGTTCCCAGGAAACCACCACCAGTGGTGGCAGCAGGTGTGGGAGAGAGAAACTTCTTGGCATGGGATTTGTTAAGTGCCCTAACTTGTTTTCACCATATCAAAAATGCAGCCTTTGTTCTCTCTACCTTATTCTAATTACGATCTTGGTAAACTACATGAAAAACTATCTTCCTAAGGGTAATCTTAAAGTCTCTATTTCTTATGAAAGCTCCAATTTGGTGTTACCAAATGGCATAAGAAGTTGATTCTTCAGAACCTTTATGGTTATTTAAACGGAAATACTTTGGAAAACCTGAAGAGCTTATTTTATGTCATCCTGTCAGTACTGCTACCATGAGAAGCTGACTGAATAAACAGCAAAACCTCATCCCACTGCCTCCCCAAATTTGAATTTCATTTGGATGTGATCTGAAGTTCACCTCTGTAGTCCCTTCTACGTGCAACCCTTAGAGGTGCATATCAGCTCCAATACAGCCGTGATGGCCGCACCTCAATTCCAGGCTCTGCTTCGTCCTGCAAGTGGGAGCTGCAGAATGAAGAGTTCTAATGTGCTAATTAGAAAGTAATCTATCTCAAATACATTTTGGAATAAAGTACAATAATAATTCCCTCCAGTCCAGCCTTTCCTACTGTGTTTCACAACTTGCTGTTCTCCCACAGGCCACTGGCACATCTGGTGAAGAGGGTTCCATGATCAAGAGAGTTTATGAAATCCATTTTTACGCAGAAACCATGATGAGTTACTGTGCTTCTATGTATGTATGTGAACCTCTAAAATGCAAGTTTAACAAGTAGACAATGTAACTATAGGATCCTTAAAAACAAACAAACAACATTAAGAGAACAGGAGTGCCAGAGGGCACCTGAGATGCTGGGTCTTAATCTACTAAAGCAGAAGCTCTACAAGGCAACCCCCAGACGTTGGTCAAACGCCACGGTAGCCACCGCCATCACGGGGCTATGTAGTGTGAGCTCGGGGGAAACGTTAAGTGCCTCAGCCACACTGCCCACATTTCAAGTGCATGTGATACTGGCTCCCCTAAAGCACACAAAGAGAACATTCCCATCATGGCAGACAACTCTACTAAACGGAGCTGAAAATAAACAGAACACTAAAGCATTCGTTACTGTGTAACTTCTTCTGAATTGAAAACTACAGTGAGGCCCCCAGCACAGCACTTCATAGAGCAGGTGCTGAGTATTTCTGAATGAGTGTTGAAGAGACACCAACTAAGTATTTGACGTTTTTCAAAGTTGAATGGACAGGAAAATTCAGCACCACAATAGTCTTTTATGGACCGTTCTAAGGAAAAAAGCCTAAACTTCAGATTTCAAAGACCCCATGTTGAAAGCATAAGGTTACCCTAACTGTTCCCAGGAAACCACCACCAGTGGTGGCAGCAGGTGTGGGAGAGAGAAACTTCTTGGCATGGGATTTGTTAAGTGCCCTAACTTGTTTTCACCATATCAAAAATGCAGCCTTTGTTCTCTCTACTTTATTCTAATTACGATCTTGGTAAACTACATGAAAAACTATCTTCCTAAGGGTAATCTTAAAGTCTCTATTTCTTATGAAAGCTCCAATTTGGTGTTACCAAATGGCATAAGAAGTTGATTCTTCAGAACCTTTATGGTTATTTAAACGGAAATACTTTGGAAAACCTGAAGAGCTTATTTTATGTCATCCTGTCAGTACTGCTACCATGAGAAGCTGACTGAATAAACAGCAAAACCTCATCCCACTGCCTCCCCAAATTTGAATTTCATTTGGATGTGATCTGAAGTTCACCTCTGTAGTCCCTTCTACGTGCAACCCTTAGAGGTGCATATCAGCTCCAATACAGCCGTGATGGCCGCACCTCAATTCCAGGCTCTGCTTCGTCCTGCAAGTGGGAGCTGCAGAATGAAGAGTTCTAATGTGCTAATTAGAAAGTAATCTATCTCAAATACATTTTGGAATAAAGTACAATAATAATTCCCTCCAGTCCAGCCTTTCCTACTGTGTTTCACAACTTGCTGTTCTCCCACAGGCCACTGGCACATCTGGTGAAGAGGGTTCCATGATCAAGAGAGTTTATGAAATCCATTTTTACGCAGAAACCATGATGAGTTACTGTGCTTCTATGTATGTATGTGAACCTCTAAAATGCAAGTTTAACAAGTAGACAATGTAACTATAGGATCCTTAAAAACAAACAAACAACATTAAGAGAACAGGAGTGCCAGAGGGCACCTGAGATGCTGGGTCTTAATCTACTAAAGCAGAAGCTCTACAAGGCAACCCCCAGACGTTGGTCAAACGCCACGGTAGCCACCGCCATCACGGGGCTATGTAGTGTGAGCTCGGGGGAAACGTTAAGTGCCTCAGCCACACTGCCCACATTTCAAGTGCATGTGATACTGGCTCCCCTAAAGCACACAAAGAGAACATTCCCATCATGGCAGACAACTCTACTAAACGGAGCTGAAAATAAACAGAACACTAAAGCATTCGTTACTGTGTAACTTCTTCTGAATTGAAAACTCTTGTATTTCTGAAAGAAAACTATATTTCTTCAGAATTCAAACTTTTCCATACTTTAGAAAGACCTTTCCCCATAGTAAACATAAGTCAGTCACACTGATGAGATGTTCATTAAATGTGAATGCTATTTTCTAAAATGCAAAGATTGATTATGTCTACTGCACGGTGAAGAGAAAGGGACAATATAGGCATCACCCTAAAAGCTATCAAAGGGTCACAATCATAGAACAGTATTACATTTTATTTACTGGGGTGAGCAGATGGCATGTTCTAAAAAAACCACTGCCAGTTGTACTAGTGCTAACCCCAACCCCAAAGACAAGTCTATGAAGGCTTTCAGGACCAAACTTTTCTTTGCTTCCTTTCCAGCCCTTCCAGTGGTTCTCCCGCTCCCACTCACAGAAGGCTCCAGGTGTGTTTCCTGACTCCAGCACCCAGTGTTCCCAGTGCCTACCTGCTCGGTACTCACCTGTGTGAGTGCGAAGATGAGCCTTGAGGTGGGAACTTTTGAAGTAGGTTTTCTGGCAGCCTGGGAAGGTGCAAACATAGTTCCTCCGTCGGGAAAAGTCTACCTGAGGGGCACAGCTCTGACTGGAGGTGATGAACACTGGAGCAGGGGCCAAGGGCAGCACCCTCGTACTGCCCACAGCCATCACACTCAATGGGCAGGTGGCAGGCTGAGGGACGGGTCCCTGGGGCAGAACCAGCATCACGGTTCCCTGAGGCACAGACGGTCCCACAAACAAAGGCTGGGGCACTGGAGCAGCATGGGGTAGGATGGGTTTGACAGTCCCCACAGACATTTGGGGCAGGGGTTTCAAAAAAGCTGGTAACATGCCACTTTGTCCAGTCACTGGGATCATTTGGCCAAGGACAGGGGGACTGGGCATGGGGACAGAAATCAGAGGAGCAGCTTTCCTTGGCAAGTCATTTTCATAATTCTTTGGTGAACAGGTTTGAATTGCAACAGGCCACCCTGTCTGCTGGCCTTTGTCAGTCGAGATCAGACCACCAGTCTTGTTTGAGCAAGACTGACAGGACACTGAGTTAGTGCTGAGTAAACCGTCTGTGAGTTGTGTGTCCAGCAAAGCTTCAATATGTCCCAGGAACTGTGCTGCTCCTCCTCTGTTGACTGAAAGTTGGTATTCTTGAGTCTGGGCAGTAGGCATGTGGGCAGGACTCCCCCCAGTGTGGCGGATGACACTCATTACCGTGGCCCTGCAGCGGGTGCCAGGGGCTGGCTCCAAACAAGGCGGGCTCCTCTCTGCCCTCCGGCTCAGTACTTTGGCTGCCCCAGCGGAGGCTGGAGGGATGGCCACGACCGTGTGTGTTTTGGAATCAGTTACCTTGGAAGGACCAAGTGTCCCTGCTGATGGCTCCATGAGATCAGGGCTCTGAGGAGGAGTCATGCACTTAAAAAAGAAAAAAATGCGGTGTTAAAAGGTTGATCAAATTTAAAAGGGACTTACTTTGATCATGTTGCCCCCAATGCCTTTAAAAAGAAATATGTAGAAAAGACTGGGCTAAACCTGCTCAGAACAGTACCCAGTGGGTCTCAAGGCTACATGAGGCACTGTACTTTCTCGGCTTCTCCCCATTTCCTGACCTCTCCCCAAACCAATCCATCTGCTAGGCTGTAAGGACCTCAGGGCCACTCCTGGCTTGCCCAGCTACTGAACTGAGCAATCTAAGCATTAGGACACAAACAAGACAACAAATTCATATGCAAAATAAGAGCTTTTCACAACAGTTTTAGACTCTCAAACATTTGTTGATATCCCAGTGGTAATCATTTAATATAGACTTAGTGCCTACCGGATGCAAAGTAAAAACTTGCTGAAATCATCCCCAAAACGCCATGCTCCAACCAGTGGTGCTGCCTGAACCACGTCCCTCTCTGCACGGCCCCCACTGTAATTTCCACCTCTTTCCAGCCTCCCTGCGGAGGAGCCCAATGCCAACTAACCCTGAGAGGCGCTCTGGGCAGCCGGGCACACTACTTGTACCATCCTCTTCACTGCTCTCCACTTCTTTCTCATCCCTCTCCAAGTCTTGCTTTCCACACTTTCCTTCCAGTGCAAGCTTCCAGCTCAGGACAACTAAAATTTTGACTTCTGTCTCCAAACTGAGAAGCAATTCTCCCTGTAATTTTGTAGCCAAGTTAAGAAAACAAAAACAAAAAACAGTGCTTGATTGCACTCAACTGAAACCAGAAAAGAGTTGGGCTGCCACAGGGAGGGAGGGGGTCCAGATGTCAACCCAGCTAACAAAGATGGCCTGGTGTCAAAGCACAGGCTTTCTCCAGCTGCCGCCCACATATCCTGATTCTGGACTGGGTCATCTGGGGGAACTGAGGTCCCCACCCTGTAACTCCCCAGGGAAATTAGTACTTTTACTTTCTCCTATCAACCTGTGGTTTTCATCTTACGGACATTTGAGCCCCCTGGCTGCACGCTATGTTCTACCAACGGAAAGAGCATATTTTCAAGAAGTAAAAAGTTTTCACTCTTAGGACCCACACAAGGGGAAGGTCTGAACTTGCCAGCATCCCGGCGTATCTGCCTACAAGTTCTTCAGCACATTTCCTTAAGGTACTCTAGTCATTGCACAAAAACGCTCTTCTCCCCAGCCTCTTACCAGAGTTGATAAAGAATGGAAATCCTTTGGTAGCTCAGGTGCAGCTGCATCCACATGCACAGTCGTGGTGACATCCCCAGAATCAGAGACAGGTGTGAGGGGTCTTATCTTTAAGAGGTCACCTTTCTGAGATCTTTGACCCCAGGAGCTCATGCAAACAAGAGCCTCAACAGCTTCAATGTCATTCTGTTCCAAGACGCTGCTGGTAGACCTTTCGCTGTCATGCCATTTCCTCTCCAGGATTGACTCACATATGTCCATGATGTCAACCTAAAGGCCACAGAACACGATGGCTTCTCAGTCCAGGAGAAAGAGAGAGGGTAAGCCTGATGGGCATGTGGATACACAGACCAGGAGCTGCACCACACACGTTAACACATGTATGATACCTGCCAGGTAAGCGCTCTATTCTAGGTAAAGATGCCAACAGCACATTGGTTTCAATTTTGCTTTTATGCTAATCTTCTAAAGGGGGAAGGAAGATGACTGGACTTGACTGGCAAGCAGTTTACACAGAAGACCTTGATTCTTAAAAAAGAAAGTTATTAAATTCATGTTTTTCTTTGGCAAATGACTACTAAGACAGTAATTTCAGAGTGTCAGACAAACTGGTGAGCGTGAAACTGTCCAATGGAGCCGAGGAACTGACACTGAGTCTAAGTCTTCTGGGTGGTTGAAAGCATGGCTCTTAGGATTTCGCATATCCCCCAAGAGTGTCCCCTACAGATGTATTTCTGGCAGCTTTCTGGAGCATTCACCACAGGCCTCTCCAGCCAGGGCTTTACCCGCACGCAGAACCTCCCCGTGGCCGAGCTCCAGGGGCTCCAGGAAAGTAGAGACCACACTGGGTTAGCCTTGCTCCTCAGACTGGGCACATCGGGCACCCCTAAAGCTCCAAGGCTAGCCGGGGGTAAGAGGAAGAATCCTGAACATCTACCACAACCCAGAAGACAGATGTCTTTCTGTTGTATCACACCTGTCTTTGGGCAGATGTGGGTAGTCAACCAGAATTCACTTATCTATTCTGAGGAAAGTTTAAATCTACAAAGGTAAGCGCTTCTCTTGTGCCCAAGCGTCCCTCCCGCCGGCTACCTCCCCAAGGCCCTCAGGCCCCGAGAGGGGGCGGCCCCAGGCCGGGAAGAAGGGCGCCGCCCCCGCACCCACGTGCCGCCTTCCCGCCAGCTCTTGCCCCGCCCCCTCGCCCTCCACGGTCCGCCCCGCCGCCCGCGTTCCCGCCAGCGCGCCCCGCCCCACCCCGCCCTGCCACACGGCCCGGTGACGTCATAGCTGGAAATAGCCCCCACCCCCACCCCGCCCCCGTCCCCACCCCGCTTGCAACCCGCGGGGCGGGGCCGCGGCGGCAACTCCAGACAAAGCTGAGCGTAGGGCAGCGGGGAGCACACGCCCCTTCCCCCCGCAACCGGCGCAGCGCACCTACCACCCTTCCCGGGTCCCGAGACCACCGGACCCCTACTGGTGCGGCCGCAGCCAGGCCCCGCTCGCCCCCGCCTACCTCTGCACTCCGGCCCCGCACAAGTGGCGCGTCCCTCCCTCGCCCCTCGCTCAGCTGGCGGCCACTCACCTTGCGCGCGTCACCCGGGTCCGCGTCGCCCGGCGTGTGCATGGTGTCACGGCCCGGAGGCAACAAAGCGTCCGCGAGGCGGGAGCTCGGCGCACGGCAGCAACTGCACGTGCTCGGCGGGCGGCTGCAACCCGGGGCTCCTGCAGCCGGCGCGCGCCTCCGCCCGCCCGCGCGGCTGTGCCCCGGCGTGGCCCTCGCGGCGCGGGAAGGGCGGGGCGGCCGCGGAGGCAGCGGCCGCGGGGGCGGGGCGCGGAGTCAAACCAAAATACACCGCGCCCCTGCCGGGGCGGGGCCGGGGGCCCGCCAGCCAGTCCGCGCCCGGCCGGTGCGCGGCCGGCCAATGGGCGCGGCGGAGAGCCGCGTGATCGGAGCCTGGCCGCGGCGTGATCGGGCAGGGCGGGATGCGGCACGTGTTTTGGTCCTGGGCGAGGGGGCGGGGCCTGGAGCCCTGGAAAGTAGGGGAAAGGTCCTGGCAGCAGCGGCGGCGGCGGCGGCGCTGGCGCTGGCGCTGCTGCGGCTGGTAGTCCCGGGTCGGGGCGGTGGAGGAGGGGGGCGGTGCTTAAAGGGCCCGCGGTCCTCAACCTGCACCAGCGCACGTCCCCGTGGAGTGAATCCGTCCAATAGAGGGGACCCACCTGGAGGCCTCAACCTGTGTGTTGCTTGCTTGTTTTAAATTTCATTATTCTGCCGTCGTCCCTTAGGAGCACATCCCTGACGAGGAAGTTTTCAAAGCTGGCTGGCTCCGGGTGACATTCCCACATTCGCCCCTTCCCGCTGTTAGCCATAGCCTGAGCTGCTTCTGCCTCTGACTCCGTTCCCTTGGCAGCTCTGGGCTGCAGTGTCCACTCTGTTAAGTGGCCATAGGGGAAGCCAAGGCGGGTTAGCACCGGAAAGGTGAAGCCCGTCCATTTTTCAGAGAACGGGAGGAAGCATCACCCTTTCCGGGAAGTCCTCAGGACTGAGAGAGCACCTGGCATCTTCTTACCCCTTGTACTTTCGTTGGTGTGTCTGGGTATGATCGATCCACTTAAGAAGTTCCAAGTTCTTGAAGCACTTTGACCAGGCTGTATTTGTTCCCGGACAGCCTGCAGAGCAGCACGGGACAGCCCTTCAGTCAGCACACAGCCGCTTGCTGAGCTCATATATACATATATGGGTTGGTGCTGTGCAGGGTACAGAGGCCACAGTGAGAAATCCTTGTCCCTTACAATCTAAAGACAGGTGAAAGTAGAGGATCCCACACTTTGGGACTGTACTGTGAGTGAGAGATGCCCTGGGCCCAGGGAATGGGTTATAAGGTTACAAAGAGCCTCCAGTTTATACTGATAACCCACTGCTTGTTCAGTCTGCTCTGGGGAGGGGTGAGGGCAGGCGGCCTAAGCTGATGACAAGGAAAAGTTCTGAGATGTCATAAAATTAAGTGGTATAACGGCCTGGAGAACGGGAGAGAGACAAGGGGAGATGATCAGTCAATAGCTGCAGGCGGTAGATAATCAGGAACTCCATGTTCTTGGATGAAGTCATGTCAACAATCATCTAGAAGGTTCCCAGTACCAGTACCAGTGCGTCCCTCTCCCACGTGAGCCGTGTCTGACCATCATCAGCAACCAACCATGAGCCATCTCTATGGACTAATCACTGATCCCAGGCTTTCCCCACTTCACATTAGCCCACCTGCCTCTTCTATATGTTAATTTAAGGAACTTTCTTGCCTTGAGATGGCTTATAAATGTCTCCTGTTTCTTGAGTCTGGTGGACAAGTTGTTTCTGTTAACTGGCCTTGCTGCTGGTGAAGCAGAAACTTCCTGTCCCAGGACTGAATTCTTGTTTTGGCTGCATCTGTAAAGGCTCAATAAACCCTTTTATTTCAGAGATTTCTCAGTCTCAAGTTTTTGATTGGTCACTGACCAGCCTCTCTCCATTTCATCTTCTGATCCTCCACAACACCTTTCCTGACCTGTAATCTATTTTAGTTATTTGTAGTCTCCCCACTAGAAGGAACCTTCCCAAGGTCAGGGAGCTGATCTAATTCACTGCTAACCCCCAGTGACTGACTCACTGCAGGCGCACAGTAATCACCGGTTGTATGAGTGAATGAATAAAGACAAACACCTACTTCCCCTGCATCCCATACCCCGGACACCCTGTAGACGCTGAAATAGTTCCATGTCCTTGAAACTGAACTCACATTCTGGCCAAATCTGGATTTCCCACCTCTGGGAAAGACATCACCAGATACCCTGTTACTTCATCCAGAAATCTGAGTCACCTCTGACCCTTACCTTTTGTGCACTTGTTTCCTTCTGCCAATTACTTTGTGCCCTTTTTCTTCCTAAATATCTCTCAAATTATTAACTTCCCTCCATCACCCAGTCCTGCCCTCATCCAGGCCACCAGCCTTTCTCACCTGAATCATCATCACTGCCTTCTAACAGGTCTTCTACCCCCAGCTTCACCACCTGCAACTGCCCGCCCCTCCTCTCACTGCCAGAAAGATCTTCCAGAAGGAGAGATGGTACCAGACCTATATTTAAACTCTAAGTTGAAATCCAAAAAACTACTACTTTACTCCTTAGGCCAGAATCCATGGCTGCAGAACCAGGCCCAGCCAGCACTTCCTGCTTTGTCTTGACCAGTTCCCCAAATCCCTCCTGCCTATGGTCAGAGGATATTGATGTGTTTGCAAACTATGGACAGTTAGTTACAAGCCATTCACTCACAGACATCACTGAGGCCCTGATTGGCACCAGGCCCCAAAGACCCTCAGGCAGAGCACAGACTATAGAGAGCAGATGGGACATGACACAGGTAGCTCCTATATATAGTAGAGCATGATGCCACTGGCTAGACTGCCACCACTTTCTCGTGTGTCCTTCTGAGAGAGTCTATGTATATGCCAACATACTTTTATACAAAGGATAGCGTCTATCCTTGTGAATCTTGCTGATTTCACAACATGTCTTGGGCATGATTACCTATCAGTTCACAAAGATCAACCGCATGCTTTATAATGATTAAATAATATTCCATTACATGAATGTGTCTTCATTCATTTATCCAGACCTGCTGAAATCACCAGGTGCTTAGCTTATTTCCAGTTCACCAGGATATCACGTCCATGCACCGTGGGCCTCTGTGCAAGGATAACTACAGACTGACTTCCAAGACGTAGAATTGCTGGGCCAACTGTTTATTTTCTTTGGTAAGTCTTAATGAAGAAAAGCATAGATACAGGAAAGTACAAAAATGTAAGTGTACAACTCAGTGAATTTTTACAAACCAAAGACATTTGTATCATTTGCACCCAGATCAAGAAACAGATTAGCAGAATCCTAGAAGCCCCTCCTTTAAAAAAATTAATATATATTATACATGAAATATATATTATTACATAATGTACATATATACACAGATAATATATGTATATATGTATATTAAATTTATGACATAATTTACATATATAAGTATATATGTAAATTGTGTTTTACAATTTAAATTATGTTTTAAATTATATAATTTAAAATTAAATTATAAACATATTTTTATACTTACATGTGTATTATCTAAATATACCTACTTATGTATGTAAATTATGTGTACTTATATATTTCATATACATATATTATCTGTGTATATATCTATATTATGTAATAATATCCTGGAAATTCCTTTACATGGGTAGGTGCATTTTTTTTGAAAGATTGTCAAATTGCCCTCCTATTGCTTCTGTGCCTGTTTACCCCACCAATTTGGGGTAAAAGCCAGTCCCCTGTTTTTTCACTAATGCTAGGACTTCTCAAATTTTCTGACCTTTACTAAGCTAAGTATAAAAAATGAGAGCTGATTATATCATACTGTATTTCTTTGATGGAGTTTTGCATGTATTTAAAAGACATGTATTCAAAAGAAATCTTGATTTCTTTTTCTGTGAGCTTTGGAAGGAATTGTACATGACAGTACAGAAAGCTGAGCATGTTTACATACTGATGGAAGGGGTCCGTGGAGAGAAAGGTGATGCAAGAGGGAGAGAGAGGGAGGGAGGGGCTGATGGTGGGATGAGTCTGGGGAAGTGGGGTGGGGGGTGGCCAGGGACACAGGAAGGAAGCTACTCGGAGAGGAGAGAAGGCCAGGAGCCATCTGCTGGGGAGGGGGCCTGATGAGATGGGACTGGTTTGGGATGGACTCAGCCAGGGGGAGTGACAGTACTTGCCCGCCACACTGAGGGCCCAGTCCTAATGCTGGAGTGACCCTAGACAGAGAAGTGGGTCCTTGTTCTGGCTGCTGGCACTGAAGTGCTGGGTCACCTGGGGCAGGTCTCTGTCACCTTTGAGGTTCAGTTTTCTGACTTGCAGACTGGAGTTGGCTTAGCTCTGTGAGTCTAAAACTGTGATCCAGGTAGTTTTTGTAGTTTTTTTATGAATGAGAAAAATAATGGCAAAGAATGCATTTTTTTCATGTAGTTAGGTACAATTTAAGGACTACCATTTATTCAGAGATTGTAGCCTCCTAATTTTTTCCTGTTACAATGTCCTGTCTTTGAGGAAGAGATGGTGATCGCAGATGGTACACAATCACAATGCCCTAACTTGTAGAAACAAAACACTGGCAACCCTATGGCAGCCCCCAGGTGTGTTCTCAAGTTTTGTGGTCAGTGAAACATCCAAATCTGGGCATCCCTGGACTGGACGTCTTCAGAGGTCTGTTTCATCTGTGATGACCATGGCACCACGAGGGCTCCTTTCCACACTGAACTTGGAGGTGCTGATTTCCAAGCCTAGTCAGAAACAGATGCTTGGCACTGACTCCCCTTTTTCTGCTCTGGCTTGGCAGTGGCCACAAGGTGAAGATGCACAGTGGGCAGATTCCTGCCCCTCGGCACCCCCTCCCTGGGTCTCCGACTGGCCGGCCAGGCCTTGCCAGCTCCTGAGTGGGTCAGCCTCGGCCAGAGCCCAGCTGTGGACCAGAGAGCAGTAAAGCGAGGCAGGAGGCTGCCCTGCCTGCCCCACCTGCCTGCCAGGGCCAGGCGGAGCCGACTGGGGAGGGAAGAGCTGGCTCTCCTGGCCCTTTCTGCCTTTCTCTTTCTCCCTGGGTTGAGCTCAGTGTCTAGAAGCTGCACAATGACCAGAATATGCTGTGAACTGGGAGTGGCTTAACTGGAGGTCTGTTGATGAAATGACCTAATCAATGATTGACTAGTGGATGGATGG